GGGGGGGGGGGGCACTCCCCAAACGCACGGCGAGTGAACAGGCCACCTCGACTGGTGGCTCGCGCCAGTGTGCTCGCTGATCTCGTACTTGCTGCTCAAGGCGAAGAGGGGGCGGCGGCGGGAGCGGGGAAGCCCCCGCCGCAGCTGCTCTAACCCGCCTCCCACCCCTGGCATACACAGGTCGAGGAGACGGCGGTGCAGATCGAGCAGCCGTTCGGCTTCGAATACAATGACTTGCCCATCGAGGTCTCGCTGCGCACGGACAGACACACACCGCTGTGCGCCCGGCCGGTGCTCACTGGTCCTTGCGCTTCAGTGGGGTGCCTGTCTGATTAGGTCTACTGCCTCGCGGTGCAGGCTGACGTCATTTGCCTGCTCGATGAGAGCCAGCGGGCCGAAGCCGACGAGCGCGCGGGCGCGGTCAGAGGGGACGCGGACGCGGTCGCCACGGCGTCGGAGCTCTCGGCCGAGAGTGGAGGGGAAGACAAACACGTGCTGAGCATGAACTAAACGTTACCACGTCGGTCGTATCACTAGTATGTGTATCGGGCATGTAAGAATCTGAGGTGAAGAACAGTCCGGCTCGTATCACTGGGCACAATCTTAGTTAGTTAGTTACGAAAAAAAGGGCGAAACACAGTCAGACCAACACCGCAGGGCGTACGCTAACGTTAAAAAAAAACATAGCGAGTCAGAAACGGAGTTTTAAAAACAAAAAGCGAAAAGAACAAGGAAAAAAAGAATTTTACGACAAAGCTGAAAGAAAATCGTGATACGTGCCGCCGCATTTTGCTTGCGGCGCGCAGGGCGCACTTACAAAATGGCACCTGCTTTGCAGCCGGACAAGCCTAAGCTTCCCAAACCCACCGCGGGTTTTGTACACGCCCGGAAGCTGCAGCTGTCTACGAAGCCCTTCTCTTCGCCTCCAACTCGCGATGAGCTCGAGAAGACCCAAAAGTGCGCGGCACCGTGGACCCAGGATGGCGGGAATCGCAGCCACAAAGCAGCCCCCCCAGGGCCTCTTTGCGTAGTACCCTCCGCACCCACACAGTACTCGCGCCGCGATGTGCGCGAGAGCGGCCCCTCCGCGCTCAAGTTAGCTCGTGCTCACACCCGTGGCTGCGACGGCTCGCAGGTGGGCTCCAAACGCCAATCTCGCGTCCACCTTCCCTCCCAACGGGAGCATCCCTTGGGAGCGATTCGCGACCTCTGACAAGCCTCTCGTCTTCAACTCGACCTCGTACACCGCACGGGCCGGCACCTACTCGTTCCTTTGGGGTTGCGGCTATGACTGCTACTCGCATCGCACGCAGTGCTGCTACCCGGTGGCGCAATGCCTAATCCGCAGCGGCGCGGGCGGCGCCGAGTGGGCCTCGGTGAAGGAGGCTGGCTTCGAGGCCATGTTTGAGAAGGTGCTCAAGACGGGCGCGAGCCCAGACACGCCTCCCTCTCTCCTCGGCCTCTGGTACATGCGCGGCAACATCGCGCCGCCCGAGACGTTGTTCGCGCTGCACGACGCCGAGTGGGTCAAGACGGCCGAGGGCGGCTACATCGGACTCAAGCACCAGTCGTACAACTGGTCTGCCGACGCCACCTGCTGGGGCTGGGTTTGGTGGCGCTTCCGGCCAGCCGCCCCCTTCCGCTTCGAAGTGTCACCCGACGGCAATGGCTCTGAATAGCACTGCATGATGTCCGTCTTCCCGCCCTGACTTTGGTGTCTCTTTATCACGTAGGCAAGTGGGTCAACGTCGCCGGTAGCCAGCAGTGGGCTTTGCACCTACCCTTGCGCGG